TCTCGACCGCTATCATCTCCAGACAGTTTATGTGAAAACACCTCTCTTGGTCTGACCACTGGCCGAAGACCGGTCTGCCCTCGAACAGCGCGCCCCAACCCCAGTTGGACGCGTCTGTCGAAATGACTTTCCGATAAGAGATGGTTCCCATTATCACTACCAGCTGGTACCAGTCGGCCACTAACCAGGGCTGCAGAGCCGCTATGCAGGTCTGAGTCACTCTGATTTTCTGACCGCCAGAAACCCAAGCTCGGCGGGACGGGCGAGCATTCAACCAGCGTTGGAGCGGGCGCATGCGCAGTAGGCCCAGCTGGAGCACCGCTGCAGCTGATGCCATACAGCCCAGCATCCTTTAAAATGTTTTCAAAGGGAGAAAGCTGTCCTTCTGGAAAGACGCGGCTAGGTGGCGAACACGGAGCGCGCGCTGTGCCGATAGACGAGCCGACATGGTCACCGAGTCCAGTTCTATTCCTAAAAAGGAAATTGACTGGCTGGGTAGTAATGAGCTCTTGGTCCAGTTGACCGTGAGACCCAAGCTTTCCAGGTGACTGAGAAGCACTGTTCTGTGAGATAGCAGCTCTGTCTCTGACTGTGCCAAAATCAGCCAATCGTCCAGATAGTTCATTATTCGCAGCCCCTGACTTCTCAGGGGGGCGAGCGCCGCGTCCATGCACTTCGTAAATGCACGGGGTGCTAGAGACAGGCCGAACGGCAGGACGGTGTATTGATATACCTGACCGTCGAAGGCGAATCTCAAAAATTGCCTGTGACGGGGTATTATCTGAATCTGAAAATAGGCATCCTTCAGATCTAGAGAAATAAACCAGTCCCTCGGGCGAACGTGCGCGAGGTTTTTCCTGGTCGTAAGCATTTTGAACAGTCTTTTCACAAGCACTTTGTTCAAATGTCTCAGATCTAGGATAGGTCTGAAGGCTCCGTCCTTCTTGGGTACGAGAAAATAACGGCTGTAAAAGCCTGACTCGCTCAGAGAAGGCGGCACCTTTTCTATAGCCCCTTTTGCACAGCAGCTTTGCTATTTCTGCGTGAAATTGGTGTGCTACTTCCGCATTCACTATCGTCGCGGTCCGGGCTCGAAAGCGCTGGGGACGGCGAATGAATTGAAGTGTATAGCTCTGCTTATTGTGCTCAGAACCCATTCTGAAATCCCTGGGATAGTTTCCCACGCAGCTATGTGAGCCGCTAGGGGGCGAATGGCCTCCGGGTTCAGATCGCCGCCATTTGCGGGCTTGTGAAACTGAGCCGGAGCCGAAAGCGCGGCGCGCGCGCTCTCGGTTCTGGGCAATGGCTTCTCGCTGAAAGCCGAGACCGTCTGATTTATGTGAGGTGTCCCAATCATAAGGGATGGGGAGCATTTTATTCTCACTTTTTGACGCGCAAGCAGCGCTTTGGGTGGAAAAGCTTTCTGTAAGCGTGAGCGCGTGTGCGCGGGCACGAGACTTACAAGTGTATTTGACGCCCCGATCATAACGGATGGGGAGCGTCTTATCAATGCCCTGCGTTTTGTGATAACATTTAAACGCGCGGGCGGCGCCCGGGGGGAGGTGTGTGTCAGTAAGCGTGAACGCTCTCCGGCGGGCACGAGACTTACATTCATAACCTGTTTTATTGACCGTGTAACAGAGCGGGCAGATAGTGGGCACAGACCTGTGGACACATTCCTTATATTCAACACTCGAGCGGCCTTTCTGCGCTTTATGAGAGTGTGGTCTGTGAGTGACACGAGAATTGATGTGCTTGTGTGTAGGGGTTAACACTGGGGCGTGGGCACTTTCACTACACTTAAAACACTAACGGCGTGAGCCGGACCAGACATTATACTCTTTTGAGATTTTCTCTGGGTCGCCGTGAAAACGGCGTATGTGTGCAGGCGAGAGGGCAAATGAGCCGGCTCGTTGGCTGCTAAATGGACCACTGCAGTAGCCTGATTGAAGGGGACTGACAGGGAAATAAACTTGAATACGGCGGCTCGCTGAGGAGAGCCGCATAAATTTTATTTGCTGCGGGAGCCGGAATCGAACACGGGTCTCCGGGGCAAAAGCTTAAGGTTTAGCCCCTAAGCCACAGGGGAAACAACATAAGCTTTAGTTGGCGCGATCAGATAAAAGAGAGAGCGTCATCACAGTTTTCGTGTGCGTGTCGGCATTGTCTGCAGGCGTGCGTGCTATAACAGGCTCTCTACTGCAGTATAGACATTACCAGCCGCTCGAACTAGGAGGAGCTGGAAAATGTTTGAGAAAAAAAAAGAGGGGGTTTGTCAGGCCTCGGCGGGACAAAAAACCACACTCTCTCCTTCTTTCGCCGGTGACGCATGCGCTCGGGGGCGCGCGCGCTCGCTCTCTGTACGTAAGAAAGCTGGTCGCGAGCTCAGAGAGGAGAGCTGCATAATTTTTTTCTGCTGCGAGAGCCTGGAATCGAACACGGGTCTCTGGCGCGAAAGCTTAGGGTTTAGCCAGTGAGCCACAGGGGAAACATCGTAAGCTTTAGTTGGCGCGAGCAGATAAGAGAGAGAGCGTCATCACAGTTTTCGTGTGCGTGTCGGCATTGTCTGCAGGCGTGCGTGCTACGAAAGCTTAAGTAGCGCGAGCAGATAAGAGCGCGCGCGGCAGCTTCCTTGTAACGTAAAGGAAGCTAGCCGCGGTTAGAACAGCAGTCCATAGCGTGTCCCTCGACCTCATTCTCAGACGCGACGGCAGTGAGGCTCGTGAGCGGCAGCTGCGCGTCGGTGAAGGGAGGCGGGGAAGGTGAAAAGCGAGGCTCGAGGGAGGCTTTCCGGCGAGCGCGTCGCTGTGGCTACAGGCTCCGGCTGCCTTTGGGAACGGCGCTTATCACTGCGCGGTCCCACAAAGGGCGGAGTGACTGCTTCTATGGTGGGCGCGGTAGCTTCCTTGTAACGTAAAGGAAGCTAGCCGCGGTTAGAACAGCAGTCCCTTGTGGCGTGTCCCTCAACCTCATCCTCAGACGCGACGGCAGTGAGGCTCGTGAGCGGCAGCTGCGCGTCGGTGAAGAGAGGCGGGGAAGGCGAGAGCGAGGCTCGAGGGAGATTCTCCGGCGAGCGCGTCGCAGTGGCCACAGGTTCCGGCTGTCTCCGGGGCCCTACACGAGCCGGCAGGAAATGCGAGGCATCTTTAAAAAGACACTCGCGCTCTTTTAGGAGTAAGCTAGAAGAGAATACAACAGAGTAAAAAGGATACGTCGCCGGATAGCGTAGCTCGCACGGATGGCTGAAGGTGGCGAAGACGGCCGGCTTCCTCAGCGCTGTCCTAAGCTGGCTGTTCGCTGTTCGACGGCGGCGGTGGCTTCTCTCTGATCCAGCGATGCGGAGAGCTCGCTGAAGAGTCGAAAAATCAGGGAAGTCAGCCTACAGCCCCTTCTTTTATACGCTAAGCCACGCCCATTCTGGCGGGCTGTGACGCTATGAAGGCGCGAGCGCCCTTCATTGGGCGTGACGTCACGCGGGGCTCACTGGTAGGCTGCAGCAGATGCCAGCAGGGCAGCCAATGAGCACGCGAGATGGCCTGCTCTAGGTCTGCTAGCTGCTGCACTGCGTTGACAATGAATACAAAATTAAGGATAATTTTTTGGCTTCAATATCTCGAGAAGATGAATCTTTCCCGTAGCGTAAGCTAAACTTACGCAATACGAGAGAACCTCTCGTAAGAGAACTGTAAACTTGTATTCATATAGGCTAACGACAAAAACAGTTTATCTGTCGTCTCTGTCTCCGGGAACTGCGCGTCACAAAAAATGAACCGAAAGCCACTTCAGCTCAGTCACGATAAGAAATCGGCTATGTCTAAAGCCTTTAAATGTCTAAATATTTAGGCTAATAAATGTTATCTGATTATGTAGGCTAATCCATATGAAAACGAGAGGTACAGAGGATATACTTTTGTATCTTTAATAAGAATCAAGCTATATTTAATTCATACTTTGAAAACTATGCAGCATTTTATTTTTACATTTGATTGGCATCTGTAGTATTTCTTACTACGGGCCCTATTTTAACGATCTAAGCGCATGGCCTAAAGTGCACGGTGCACTTAGCTAGTTTAATGACGGGAAAAATGGTCAGCGCACCGGGCGCGTGGTCTAAAAGGGTTGTCCCTATTCTCTTAACGAGTAATGGATGTGTTTTGGCCGTAACGTGCAATAAACCAATCAGAGTCTCATCTCCCATTCCCTTTAAAAGCCAGTTGCTCTCGTGCCATGGCGGATTCGCTATTTACATGGTGGAATTTTCAAGCAGAAAGACTGAACGCTTCTCCAGAGAGGAAACTCGTATGCGAGGTTAAAGCGTGCAAGCAGACCATCTACGGGACAAGCCGGATTCCACCGTATCTTTATGTACACAATAATAATCTTTTACATTGTAATCCTTTTATTATTAATATTTGGCATGTTTGTGTTGCGCGTCCCTGTGTGTGTAATAAGCAGAGTGTATGTGCATTGTGCATCTGGCTATAGGCACATATTACTAATGCGCCCTTTAAATAACAAAAATATATTGCTCCCTTGACTTTAGACCAGGTTTTTGTTGGTCAGTGGCGCAGTCTATTTCAGTTGCCTCAAAATAGCAACGAGCCAACAAAGCACGCCCATGGGCGAACAGATGAGCGCAAATGCATTTGCTATTAAACAACGTGGCGCAGGACGTGAAAATTATAACTGCGTCGGACTGAAACTAGCAAAAAACAGTTGCGTCGTGCCTGGCACCGCATTGCGCCGGGTGTATGATAGGGCCCTACATGTTAAAGAAACCTACTGTGCCTGAAAAACGTTATTTACTTTGGATCTTTGTTCTATTGTACTTGTCCTTCTTTGTACTTATTTTTAACAAAAATAACAATATCATGATATATCGTTATTGTGAAATAAAATTTCTCATATTGTGAAATAAAATTTTGGTCATAATACCATTTTGGTCATATATTATATACAGATTGAGCTGACTCCTTTTTTTTCTTTTTTTATCTTGACAGAAGAATGAGCTTCAGGATGCTTTGTTGGAGAGAAAACGGCTCAATCGTGAGCTGCTTAGTCACATCCTGAAGGCTGCACAGTACGAGAAGGTAAGAGATGGTCATCACGCACCAGCCGAGCTCATCAGATCAATGGCTGCTCATTACATTGCTCTTCTAAGAACATGTGCCTGAAGGGCGCTTCTCTGCATCTCATCGGCAGTATTGATCTTATCGTGTCCCTGTCTGGTCAATATATCCGCCTTGTTTGTTTTGACCGGATTTATCTCAATGAAACTGGATGGGGTTTTGCCTGTATGCCTTTATTATGGTTTGAAATCGGCCTCCATGATGTGACAAACGTGTCGACATGCAAATTGGAGATCATCAGAAAGTGAAAGACTGAAACTCTATCATAGTGTGAAGGAAATCCAGTGACACCCGAACAGGGGTATCAATGTGAGTAGTGAATCTGCTGAGGAGTGGATATCATACTAACACAGGACCGCTGAGAGTGGCAGTCCATGGCACTCATTGTGTTAATAGTGTCAATTTCACCGGTGCTTTTTGCCAAGCTGACGGGCCATGGTTTGGCAGTCTCTCTCCGAATAATCCACAGACTGTTCCTCTCCTCTAACAGCAAAAAGGGGCCATCTGTCACAACCCCAGACAAGCGTCTGAGATAAAATGTCTTCTGTTTAATCAGGTAGTGTTGTCCGCTCCCATTCCCATTCCCTCAATGATCAAAGACTCATTTCCCAGCATTCAGTGGTGCTAACAAGGCAGAAGAGAGTAGGTAAATAACCCCAAGTGGGACGGGTCGGTTTGTCACACGCTTCGGCACCAGGCGCAATCTCATATACCGATCTTAGATCGATACGAGATGTGAATCAACCTCCCCATTTCTCTGAGCCTCTAAGCCGGATGAAATGTGTCCTAATAAATGAGACAGAGTATGGGCGTGTGCCAGCCACAAGTGTGTGATATATTGAGTGGTGAATTTTGATTGGTGGATGGGGTTCTTGTTTGACTGTGTCCTGAGTTGACCCTCTCCTGCACTCATCGGGTGATTGGTTGTTTCTCTGAGCTCTGCCAGCATCGTGAGTCAATGTAAAAGTTAAACGCATTTCTGAACACTGAATCTTTATTTTTAGAACTGTTGCCTTAGATACAAATCACCTGATTTTTTTTTATTATTTAGCCCACAATGCCGTAGCGTTATGTTTCAAGCCTCAAAGAATCACTGCACCTTTTATGAGAGTGAAAAAAGCTACTAAAATAATCTATCAAAAAGATTAATTCTGTGCTCTCACGGTCCATTGTAAAATGCATCCAAGCATTGATGCAGAGTCAGCCGTTTTGCTTCCCTTTGTTGTGGCCATTATTAAATGTCCAACAGCTGAAGTCTGGCCAAGGTTCCTCTGTTAACTCTGCTTTTCATTGTTTAAGTGACATTATTGTAAGTTTAGCTGGACTTTTGGGGCTTTAGACAGTTCATGTATCCTCATCTCTCCCCAACTCTTTCACTCCGTAGGTAAAGTCAGACTATGATCAGCTCAGAAAGGCCTTTGGTTGTGTGAGTCAAGAGAGAGACTTGGCCAGGCAGGAGAAGGCTCAGCTCCAAGACAAACTGGAGAACCTTGAGCGAGTCCTAAAGGTAAGATCATTCTTGCATATTGACTAAGGATCGATTATCGATTCAAGTCCAACCAGGATCCAATTAATCTTGCAAATGTTATTAAATATCTTTAATATTAAGAATACTACTCATTTTAGAAGAGTTTAGAGATTGGCTTGGCTTGGCTTGCTCTGACCAAAATACTGTAAACTGAATGCTTATCATATAATTAAAATCCTTTTCCCCCATGACAGCTTTTATCATATCTAGTAAACCAATCGGTAATGTTTACGATCATCTTTCATAATGTCAGGGTCTTGCTTTTAAAGGAAAAAACGATATCAGCTGAGATAATTATGTTTCATTTATCGGACTTGTTTCTGCACTTGTCGGCTTATTGACTGCTTATGTCATGTATCTTGAAAGGAAAAAAAGTTCTTATAACAAGAAATCGACTGCTCATCTTTAAAGGGATAAATATGTATTTATCTCTCCTACCTTTCTTATTATTGATTATGTGATAAATGAGGTGAGATGAGAAAAAGTAGAACTAGTATAGCAATGAGTTGAGTAGAAAACTGTTTTCTGTAAAATGTCAGAATTCCTTGTGATGTTGTCTGAAGATTTCTCTCTTGCTCCTCAGAAATGCATAATCATTCCAGGCAAAGCAGCAGGACTGTAATAAAAGATTTTCTTTGAAATAAAAAAATTGCCTCTTAAATTTCCATCTGAAATGTTTCATTTGAACTGTCTACTGGGCAAACCATCTATTTTAAATCTTAAGCTCTTAACAGGATAGTCTCCCCCGAAAAGGATAATTCTGTCACTGTTTACTGACCCTCGTGTTTTTTCATTTTTATTTTATTTTTGGTCAGTCATTCTTCAAAATATCTGCCTTTGTGTTTTTTTGCAGAAGAAAGAAAGTCGTACAGGTTTGGAATGACATGAGTGTGAGCCAGTGATGACAGAATTTTCATTTTTGGGTAAACTATCCCTTTAAATATATGTTGATATGACTCATGCAATTCATACTTTTATGCTTTCTAGTTTATTAAATGTTCATTAGAATCTTTCTAAATACGTCGAGTAGTTTCCTGTCCTCTGAAGCTCTTCAGCTGCTCATAATTGAATGATTATGCAAAGCATCGAGTTGAATAGGCATGTGAGTGCGCAAGGTGTGTGAATGCTTCGTGCTTAAAACACTTCTACCAAAGTCACCAAAGAAAAGAGGCTTTAATTTTCTTGAAGAGGATGGAGGTGCGGACAGTGAGAGAAATGGGGAGAAAAGATGGATCTTAGACCTTATAAGCTTTTTTAAGTTTTTAAGTCTCACAACACATCTGATATGTTTGTTCCAATTCCTGTCCGGTTTAACTTCATCTTGAATAAAGGAGAAAGAAACTTTAACCGAAGCGGTCTATTACAGTAGTCATTGTGTGTTGTGTTTTTTTACTCATCAGTTTTTATTCTCGGTTTTCTGCATTTTCACAGAACATGTTGTATTTACCAAGCGCTTCCCGTCAATGGCTGTTGGTGTCATCACTCACTGTCACTATTGCGCTTAATGTGTCTGTTAAAGTGCCTGTGTGGTTATTCATGATGTTGTTTCTCAGATCTTTGTCCAGAGCCTGAAAACAGCAGGTCAGAACAGTGATTAATTGTTTTGTTCTACAATGTATGTTTAAGAAAGCAGGGGTTTCTACAAACACGTCCTAATTCTAACACAATCCCCTTTTTTCTCTTTCTGTTTTTCTATTTCTCAGCATATGCGAGAGGCTGCGGATCGGCGGCAGCAACTGGAGGCAGAGCATGAGCAGGCCCTGGTGTTCCTCAACTCCAGACAGCAGGAGATCAGCCTTCTGCAGAAGGTAAGAACCTCAGTGATCCTCAAACCGGTCTATGCACACACGCACGCACGCACACACACACACACACACACACACACACACACACACACGCACACACACGCGCACACACACACACGCACGCGCACACACACACACACACACACACACACACACACAGCTTTGTTTTTGTGATATATGAGGACATTCCATAGGCGTAATGACTTTTATACTGGACAAACTGTATATTCTATCCCCCTACACTGCCCCTATCCCTAAACCTACCCATCACAGGAGACATGCTGCATTTTTACATAAAAAAAACCCCATTGTTTTTTATGTTTTTTAAGCTATTTGAAATATGAGGACACATGCAATGTCCTCATATATCACGTGTAAGTTGTAATACCAGTGTAATATGCATGTCATTATACACATTTGTGTCCTCATATATCACAAAAACAACACACACACACACACACACACACACACACACACACACACACACACACACACACACACACACACACACAGTTTGGGTGTTTCTTAAACTATGGCCACTTATATGTTCCAGGAGGTGATTTTTATTTATTTAACTTTTCAAATTCATTTTATTGATTTTGATTGTTTTATACTCATCCTAGATATAAACATTTAACATTAAAGTGTGATTTTTTTTAACAATAAAGTATTTACAATTTAATTATGTACACTATTGTTAAAAACTTTGGGGTCTGTAAAATTTGTTTTTGAAAGAAGTCTCTTATGTTGAGCAAGACAATATATTTGATTAAAAAAATACAGTAAAATTTTTAAATATTGTTACAATTTAAAATGACTCTTTTCTATTTGAATCTATTTTTAAATTTAATTTATTCCTGTGATAGCAAATTTGAATTTGTCAGCCATTACTCCAGTCTTCAGTGATATCAGTGTCACAATTTTTTTTTTATTAATATCAATGTTGGAATCAGTTGTGCTCCTTAATAGTTTTATTGAAAATGTAATACATTTTGTTCAATACAATTGTTTATCAGCAATTTCCAACCCAACCAACAATTTTTGTATTAATAAAGTTTTTACAAGTCAGTGTACTAAAGAAAAATCAAGGTAAATATTAGTGAACATAATATGTTTATATATATATATATATATATATATATATATATATATATATATATATATATGGATAAATCTGAAAATGAATATTTAATTGTCAATTTATATAAAAAATCCATATAAAAAATTATATAAAAAGTTATTTATTATATCTAAGGATTATGACATGCCGTACTTCCTTTCCAGTCTTTCTGCAGAAGTTGACGTAAGGATAAGAAAATGGTCTGATGTGGAAGCAGTAGATATTCTGGCTTAGTAGGGCTGGATAAAATCAGTGATAGGATCATGGCTGCTTTCCTTTGTGTCTGCGGCCTTTCAGGAAGGAGCAGCGACAGGCAAACAAAGCAATTAGAGCCGACAGCAGACACCGCATCAGTGCAGATCCCTGGGGAGGGGTTCAACAGAGCTTTCACCTCTCTAACATACACAACGCAGACATATATGCACAAATGACTTACTGATACAACTCGCATGGCAATCATAGCTTGTCTATGTATCTCTCAATTTCCTGCTTGCCTACAAACACTCAGTTTTCACTGTAATTTTACTCACTTATCAGTAACTGCTGTAAACTCTGACTCCCATTTTTGCCCTTCAGATACTGAATTTCCCCTCTGGGATCAATAAATCTGTCTGAAATTAGATGAAGTAGCTTTGCCAAATAAATCTTGGCAAATCTTTCAGAATCACTCTGAGATTATAATGTCCTACTGACGTTGCAGTTACTTTCTGAGGTTTGAGTTTGTCGGGTTTTGAGTGAATGGAATCGCATTTGTACTGCTAAACTAAATGCGCTATCTCTTATTTTCAGGTTCAAGCTGAAACTGAGAAAGAGCGTGAAGAAGTGGTGCATCTGCTAGAGGTAAAATTTAATCTACTTCCTTTCGTTCTGTCCTTTGGCATCCTTCTATGAAAGCCTAATTTACACTCATAGCATGGTCAGCAGAGTCTGCCTTTCGTGCAAAAAAGACCCGTCTACCCCAATTATCTGATAAGTTTAGAAGGGACAGGTTATGCCTGTCTGGATCCCTCTTGTGTTTGATAAAAGACCACCATGTCTGACAGTCGGGCCGGTCTGAGAAGCTTCCACTTGTCACGTACTGTCAGCTTAATCTGAGGAGAGCTTATGTATGTTCCCTACGGGGCGTCCTTCCAGTGGTTCCTAATTTTTATGACCTTCATAATTTTTGCCTCTTCCCATCTTTAATATTGTTTTATACCCTGCAATTTTGTCTCAAGACATTTAGTTCATCTTTTTTTCCATAGTTGAATATTATGTTATATTATTTAGTTTTGTGTTATTTTTCATCTCTGACCCCTGTCATTCTGATTTATATTTATTTGTTTTCCCTTTGTGTTTAAACAGAGCCATATGGACAAAATGCAGGTACACACACTCTCACTCATGTAGAATTTTTTTTTGCAACCTCCCATATCAGTTTTTTTCTCATTAGAGACATACAAACAACATGGACCATGGCACCCCTTACGAAAAATAAGTTTATTCAAGTGTGCTATTAGTATACTACTTTCAAACTGAAAATAAGAAAGTATTATTTCATCTACTTTTTATATACTTCTCCGAAATATACTTTATGTACTTCTCAGAAATATACTTAAAATTGCACTTAAGTATATTTGATTTATACTGACAGAAAAGTATAAGCATATTTGGCCTATACTTGTAATCAATCTTTTGATAGAGATATACTTAAAAGTATAATTACCGGTAAGTATTCTAAGTATTCTTGGCTTGTAGTTTATGGCGTTATATGTGTGCCTCAATCCTGAGCGAGTAATTGTAAGCTTTGAGCACAGAGAACTATATTTTGCAAGCACAGTGCATTATATTTTGAACATAAATTAACAATCGCAAAAAAAAGAGCAAAGAAAAAACGATTCCGTGCTCAATAAATGTATTTGCTATTATCCATATTAACGTGCAATAATAACCCCTCTCACGCAGTTTACAGGTGCTCTCTCAAACTTATTCTCTGCGCTCCTGTCAAGTCCCTCTCTCTCTCTCTCTCAACCTCTTAATTCTGTGCGCACTCAACTCTTGACACACACGCTCGCTCAACTTGCAACAGCGTTACAAGTGTGCCACAAAATCAACCAATCGGAAAATTAAAGGTCAATTGTGATTGGCTGTTGGTCTCCAATCAAATCGCTAGTAGAACCAAAGCCCGTCTGGTAGAACTATCTACTACAGCATCCCGGAAGCTTACTGGAAAACATTTTTGAAAAAAATAACTATGTAGTATTCTAAGATGCAAGGTAACCAAGTTATTTTTTTAAATATATGAACACATAATAATTTAGGTACCAAAACCCATAGAATGTTCACTAAACAAAACTAAAAGCTCAAGGCCAGCAATTAGGATGTAACTTTATAGCTGCAAGAAGATTAACATTTTTAATGTGGTTTTATTAGATCTTGTACTTGGATGCTGCAACAAATAACAAAGCATCAACTGCATTCTCATTCTTCCTGAGATCAACCCAGCTTCATGGCTTACCATCAAGGTATTTTTGCCATGACAAAACACACATCTGGAGAAGTGGCAGTTTTTTATATTTCAGATTTTTTTAATAACTTATAATTGTATACCAGAAATTATAACTTAATATTCTAAAGTAAAAGTAAACCTTGGTGAATGTCATTTAAATTTGTTTTTAGAATACTTGAAAAGGATAAGTCAAACTAACTTTAGTCACAATAGGAGATATAGGCTACTGTAATATTATAAGTTAAACAACACAACAGCATTATAATACACAAAACTAACAAGGCAATTTTAAGTTAATAATAATAAAAAATACTTACCAAAATGTGTTTTAATCCATTAGTCTCGCTGTAGTCAGTTATTTTTTTCTATTTTTTTTCCAGAAAGCTTCCGGGATGCTGTAGTAGATAGTTCTACCAGACGGGCTTTGGTTCTACTAGCGATTTGATTGGAGACCAACAGCCAATCACAATTGACCTTTAATTTTCCGATTGGTTGATTTTGTGGCACACTTGTAACGCTGTTGCAAGTTGAGCGAGCGTGTGTGTCAAGAGTTGAGCGCGCACAGAATTAAGAGGTTGAGAGAGAGAGGGACTTGACATGAGCGCAGAGAATAAGTTTGAGAGAGGACCTGTAAACTGCGTGAGAGGGGTTATTATTGCACGTTAATATGGATAATAGCAAATACATTTATTGAGCACGGAATCGTTTTTTCTTTGCTCAAACTATTTTTTTTTTTTTGCGATTTGTTAATTTCTGTTCAAAATATAATGCACTGTGCTTGCAAAATATAGTTCTCTGTGCTCAAAACTTACAATTACTCGCTCAGGATTGAGGCACACATATAACGCCATAGTAGTTGTTTATTCTTTTGATTGAGTAGCCTATTAAATACTTTTTCCCACATAGTTTTACATAGGCTACTGTCTTATAATCTTTCATGGTTTGAAAATATTAATTTATAAAGAATTTTTTTTTTGTCACAATTTACTCTTTCCAAACCCATATATTTAGAATTTACTCCTACTATTTACTGCAAATAGCACACAAAAGCACTATAAACGCATTGAATGCTCTACATCAGTGGCGGATTTAGCAAATTGGGGGCCCAAGGCGAAGGTAGTATGGGGCCCCCCATCCGATCTTTAAAAGAGAACGAAAATAAAAATAAATTTCATTTTTTGAAAAATAAACCATTAAATGGCATTTTCTGGAGAGTTTTGTGCAAAGAAATAATAAAAAAGTAGGTCTAGCAAGTCTTATATTTCTGTAATTCACACAGATCAAACACAAATATGCTAACTGAATAGATTGCTAGTTGAGAAACACTGCTTTAATTAATGTTTGTATGATGACTTTGTGAAAGGTTAACTAAACAGCATGAGCCGTCTTCCAGCTGGCCAGTAAGTTATTTGGCAAATTTCATTCATACAGATCTGTATTATGCTATAGTTTTTGATAGTGTTATACATTTCTTACAGATAATCACGATGATCATTGCGTTTGTCTTACCGAATGTGGTAGCTTTATGCAATTACAGTTTGTCTATAAGCTTTTTTTTTATTAATGCCGACAGTAAAATGCTACGAAAAACAAGAAAAACAAAACAAAATAATAATAATAATCCGAAATAAGTTCAAAGCTTGTGTTTTGGAAATAAGGTTAATATATCACTAACCCTAACATGCAACTTTCCACTTTAATAACTTCCTAAAGTGTCACATTAAATCAGAAAAACCGGTCCAGGAGACTACTGCCACCTTTCCATTAGGTGGATCTGGCAACACGGAGGCTGCACCCGCGCCCTCACTCACAACGTGCTCTCAAGCCCCGTTCACTGTGCTAGCTTCTCGCAGCAACGTGAATTTCAAACACTCATATGAGGTGGTTTAAACGGCTAATTAATCATTCAGAGAGCTTGACATTTTATTTTTGAATGTAAAAAAAATGACAGAGTTCCAGACCTTGGTGAGCTCATAGCTTGCTACAACCATGGACTTGTAACATATCGTTAGCATTGTTGTCATTGTCAGCGGGCATCAGCCCCTAGGTAGCTCGGGGCCCAAGGCAATTGCCGACCTTTGCCTAATGGTTAAGTCCGCCCCTGCTCTACATTCACAGGTTTCTGAGACCATAGTCATAGCTTTGTGTAAAGAACTGACTGAAATGTTAGTCACTATTAACCGATTACCTTCCAGTAATAACAATTTTAGGGGTGAGTAAATAATGACAGAATTTCCATTTTTGGGTGACCTGTGAGAGTGACTCTCATAGTTAAAACCATTGCGTTATTGTGTGCCAGTTGAGTATCTCCGCTGCTACACTCATCTGTGTGGCCATGAATTGTTGCTGTTGAAGAGTTAAGAGTTTAACAAACAAAATGAACTTTTCCTGTGGCTGTGACAGCCTGTTGCATCAGGTCTTTTGTTGTTGGGGTAAAACTAGGACCTGGTGAAATTATGGCAGAATGGTCAGGAACGGTTCCAGTTATATTTCCACTTGAGCTTGGTTCAGCACAGCACGATTATAAACCGTTTTCTCTTTTTTGGCTAACCGTGCTGGTAGAATGCGTGAAGTGACGTCGCCACTCAGGATTGGTCACTTGTCTGTTGCCTGGCTGCCAGTTTCTTTGTAGCTGGCTAAGTGCACTATTTGAGTGAAATTATCACAAGTTAATGATAACATTAAAAGAAATATCTGATCATCCTCCATAACGCAGTCGCTATTTACATCTCATATCACCTGTGACCTCTTGTATTACCAAGGCAATGACTGACGCATTTGTATTACTCTTTAAAGATCTCTGTTATCAGCCCTAAATGAAACCATATCCGTACAGGCTGGGCCGGATTGGAACGAAATAGAACAGTTAAGCAATGAGAACATTTGGCCAGACAGTGGAAAAGTTTAAGTATTATGATCCGTTAGATAATACTCTTAACCTGTGTGTGTGTGTGTTATTTATTTATTTATTTATTTAAACCTCTTATGCCTTTGGCATTAAAAAGTGCTCTCATTGCATGCTTTGATGCAGTTGCTGTGTTAAGCCATTATTCATTTGCTTTCCTGATAATATGCATTAAATTAATTTATCTTAGGTATCTATTTACAAGCAGATAATTTATCGTTCTATTTTTTGTGTGTCATATTTATAAACTATAGATATTTCTGTAGCTCAGTGGTTCTCAACCAGTGGTTAGTGATCCAGAAGTGGTTCGCAAGAAAAATGCTAAATGCAAATGCAGCTAAGTCTATATCTGTTCATAATCGCTGCAACGGGTCATAAAAACTGCAGAGAGGGTTATCGGCTCTAACCTCCCCTCCATGGACACTATAGACACAGTGCTGCAGGAGGAAAGCACAGAGCATCCTTAGGGACAAACACCACCACCCAGCTTATGCTCTGTTTAAGTGGGTGGACACAGGCTACAATTTGAAACACCGCAGGCCTGTGAGCATCAGCACTCACAAGGCCCGTCCGTTTAACAGCTTCTTTCCAGCCACTTTTAGGTTAGTGGCACAGGACATTAAGGAGGGTAAGAAGTACCCCACACCATGTTTTTAATCCAGGTGGATTATCATTATCATTGTAATAACTTGTGCAATATTACTTGTGTAGAGTTTACAACGTGCAATATTATTCATCTATTTTATCTTTTATAATGAGTACTTATTTAAATTAGAAAGTCTATTTGTACATAGTTTCTTTTTTTGCACTTAAAATGTTTGCTGCTCCTTGCTCTCCCTTAAAATATATATATATTTTTTTAAATAAAAGCTGACTCTGAGAAACGCACAAGAATTCCAATGTACCTGTACTGTAACGTACCTGTGAAAATGGCAACAAACTTTAAACTTTAACTTTAATCACACAGAATGCATTTTTTGCATTCCACTGCACTGCATTTCCATATTTTTTCTATGTAAACATGCACTAGATGAATGCATTTGACCGTTGTGCTCGCGTTTCATGCCTTTTGCAGCGTATTGTGGATGACACAGCGTTCTAAATTCAGTGTACTCAAGTTAAAGGTTACATTTGAAAAATAAAGTGACTGATTTTATTTTTGTTCATTCCACTGCCCTGCATCTCACGCTTTTAACCACTAAAGTGTGTTGTTTCAATGATCCCTTAAGGATATCAGATTAAATAGGCTTATTAACTTCTAAAAGGGGAAAAACAATTCCCATATCATGTTCTTATTGTCACAGGTTGTGCATTCAATCAAACTTTACAGCATTTTGTCGCAAATGTATTCAATGCTGGGTAATATGTCTAATAGCAGGGATTTTGCTAATGATACAGTATTTGGCCCAGTGTTTGTTCTATGTGCTAGGCTGGTAAATCACACTTCTGCTGTGTATGTGTTTACAAAATTGTCTGTTTTCCTGTTAATAATTTTGCATATTGTTGGGTGTAATTTTGTGTAATATTGCTGGTTCCCGAAGCCAAACCACTGCTACAGTTCAGTGTATTTCTCCTGTGTATTTATTCCTATGTATGATTTCATCTTTTGAGTAATTCTTTCCTGTGTATTCCTTACTCTGTCCCTCAAAGGTCAAGGTTCATGACTTAGAGCAGAAATGCCGGACACAGAGTGAGCAGTGCAATATTTTGTCAAAAAAGCTGGAGAAATATCACCTGGGGTCAGACACGGCAGATACGCTCCACATTGACTCACAGGAGAACAGTTACAACCGCCTGCAGCACCAGACAGAAAAAAGTGAGCAAAGCATTTTTTTTTAAACAGTTGGAGGTGTATTTCCCCCCCACACATGAACCATAGTCATTGACAGGGACAGGGAAAATTTGTTCAGATCCCTCTTATTGTTCAATGATCAAAGTCATTGATTTCCATTATAACTCATGCTTGCAGGTGATGAGAGATCTGACGGAACTCCACTGGTCTCAGAATTGCCCATAGTACAGCAACACAAGATTGACAAGCCAGAGCAGCTGTCGGTCAAACCCACCTTCCAAACCCAGAGTCGCTCCAGCAGCCCCATGCAAGCATCCCTCTCAGAGGTTTGTCTCCCTCCGCCAACCACTCGTCACAGCTACATGGTGGTTAACCGGTTGCCACGAGCAGATAGCAGTATCTGTTTATCTGCCTGTATTTTACTCAAGAGAGCAGAAATGTGCTAATTTCATGCTTTTATAATTGGCCTCTCTCTCTATAATTAGATACATAAATGACCTCATATCAGATGTTTGGGTTGAAGACTGTCTGATGCTTTAGGAAAGAAATCCAATTGTTTACTGTATGTGTAAACTAAATCACACATTTAGGCATCTAAAGTCTCAGTGGAATGTGGACTAAAAAGATACATTTAACAATTAAATGTGAAAAGTGTAATTGTTTAAATGTTAAAATACTTAACTTTTTCGACTATAAAGCATTTAAATTATTAAATTGTTTATTTTGCCAATAAACTGTAAACACTATGACTCGATGCTTCTATAAAAACATTGTGCTGTTTGTTTGAGCGTCTCAGCCAGCCTGACACAGCCAAATTGGCTCAACCAATGGCGTGAGTTCTTGACCAATGGCAAAACCTGTTTAAAAACAGTCATTGTTTTTGCAGTTCCGTTTGGTGATGCAATCACCACCATAGAAATTACACACTTCAGCTTTATATTTTCCCTGGCTATGTGATTGACATCAATGCAAATAGGTAATAATCATCTCCGCTCTGTGCACTTAATCATACATGAATCAGATCATCCATGAACACATGCATGCACTGTGCACATTGGGAGCAGGACTGTAAATAAAAGGATGTTATGTAATGATCCTCACACAAACACTCTCATAGTACATTGCCATAGTACATTTATGTTGTGATGTGTGGAATTTAAAGATAAAGATCAAGTGTGTCAGCTGATTTCCTCTGTCCAGATGGATGATGAGGTGAGACCAGCTCCAAGAACCAAGGCAAGATACACAGGTCAGGTCCGCCTCTGCACTGCCCGCTACAGGTACTTTTCTTACCACTTACCCTCTATATACAGTATATATAAGTACTGTTCAAAAGTTTGGGGACAGGTATGAAAGCGAGGCTGTGAGGGATAGACTTTTTTAGACTTACATCTGCTGTAAAAAGCTATATAAAGCTCCTAGATCACTTATAATTTCCCACAGCTTATATTGTCGGGAGCTTTTTGTCTACTGAAATATTTTGGAAAGATATTTTTGCAGTGTTTCGTCAGCAGAACAATCCAAAAACACATTAAATAACAGTACAACCAATTGAAGAGATGCATGTCCATCCCTCACAGGCTTGCTTTCATTCCCATCAAAAATTAAAGATGGCGCTGCTGTGAATAAGGTCTATTAGAATGATTTCTGGAGTATCATATGACACTGATAAATAGAGTAATTCAGCTTTGCCATCACAGGAATAAATTACATTTTAAAATATATTAAAATAGAAAACAGTCATAGTGTTCAATGTACAAAAACATTACAAATCTTACTGACTTTCTGAGCAGTAGTGAAAGGTATATATGTATTACACACATACTTGTACATATACATATATATTTATGTTTGTATTTTACTGTTTTCTTTGTTTTCTTTCCCACTCACTGTCTGGTGTTTTGGTCAGTTATAATCCCTATGATGGACCTAATGAGCATCCAGAAGCAGAGCTCCCTCTTGTGGCAGGGAAATACTTGTACGTATATGGGAGCATGGATGATGATGGATTTTATGAAGGTAATTGAGTTATGTGAGAGGTGTAATTAATGTTGAAAATTAAGAGTTTAAATTAAGAAAATACCTGGGGCCTGATGTATAAACGTTGTGTACACACAAAATGGGTATAGAAATGTGCGTAGGCAATTTTCTACGCACCAGGGACGTTTCCTCCAAGGAGGCAAGGGAGGCAGTACCTCCTCAAAAAAATAGGATGAGAAAATAATTCATATTACAAAAATAAAACAACGCAAATATTACAAAATTTGACACAATTTTTTTTATAAATCACTTTCCAACAGCGACACCAGCAGGTAAAGTTAAAAATCTCATGCCTCCCCTGAGCCAATTGACTTTTAACAGTCCCCTAAAGCGTGCGGTAGGGGGTAATTGTGCACGAATGGTGGAAAGTCACATGAGCGGAGGCAATGCCTACATCACACTGTGATTGGTTGTGATTGGCTATCATAGGTTTGTGCTATAAATCCTGCCTCTTGTTTTTGTGCGTGTTCCGCGTTCGCGAATCAGTCTTAATTAACAAAATTATTGCGTTAATGGGAAGACTAATTGAAAAGGAAGTATACAGCTCAGCCACTTGGATATCACCGCTTTGTCACTTACTTCAAAATCAAAATTGCCTGAAAACATGATGACTGTGTTTTTTTTTTAGTGAGCAATAAGTTTAGTGAAATTACTGCTCTTAAACCGGAGAGTTGCTAGGCCTCCTCTCGCTATAGAGAATTATGCTGCTAAGGCCTCCGCTCCCCAGAGCTCCGCCTAGATAGCAGTTCTCACTAGTTAGGCTCCAGACGAGCCTCCTTGGAAGCTGTCCTGAGTGTGGAGCATAGTTAGGCCTCTTCTCGCTTTAGAGAGTCGTCATGCTGAGGCCTCCGTTCTTAGAGCTCAGCTAGGCAGTGGTAATGACTTACAGACTCTCTGTAAGCCTTCTTGGTACTCCTGGGTTGGGAATGTTGTTTGGCCTCCTCTCGTTATAGAGAGTCATTTTGTTAGAGGCCTCCGCTCGCCTGAGCTGCTGGCCCTATTATGTAGCTTCCTTGACAGGTGTAGGACGTAGTGCTGAGGCCTCCGTCCCATGAGCTCAGCCAGGCTCTCTGTGAGCCTCCTTGGCTACTGCACTTAAACCGGACCGCTATAGTTGTTACGCTCTCTGTGAGCTGTCTTGGGAAACTGTCCTAGTAGTAGAATGTGGTTAGGCCTCCTCTGGCTTTAGAGAAGCATCATACTGAGGCCTCTGTTCTCAGAGCTCCATTCAGTGACGACATTCCCTTAAAGGTATTCTCAGGAATACCAAACCCTTGAGCTCTCCCTGTGGACTGAGTTTCTTTTTTGACTCAGCCCTGCAGGGAAGGGAGGAAGGGCGCAAGCCTGGACTTTCTCTAATAGAGTATGCAGCTCTAGCTTTGGCAGTAGGGAATTAGTCATGACAGCCAGCTTTAAAGGTGCCCTAGAATGTTTTGTTTTGTTATTTTATAATGTTTCCTGGGTTACCCTTATAATGTTAGTATGTTTTTTAGATAAAAAATAATCATAATTTAGAAATAAATGGCATTTTTCCTAGCCTGCTTTTAGCCTCTGATTTGAACACTCTGTTTGAAGGGGCGTGTCTGCTGTGGGATTCAGTGTAACCGCGGCCACTGCTGTGATTGGCTGACATGCTTGCATATGAAATAGCTACGCATTACATGTGAAACTCTCTCCCGAATACTTTTACTACTGCTATAATACGTTTTTACTATAACAGCTATCGAGATTAACGAATCGTGAGATGTTTTTAAAGTATTTAGATCTATTCCCATCACATAAAATGTTGCCGTGATGAGCATTGAGCAGATGACAGTGTGTTGATCGCGAGAATGAAGATCTTATCATTGCAAAGCAGTTTCTGCACTCTCTCTGCTTTCACCAATGCAAACATGATGTAAATACAGTAAGAGCTTCGTTGTGCAGTAACGTGCGTCATTGATTTCATAACGAGTTTGGCAAGTGTCCAGATAAACTCGCGCTGTGTGGAAAGATTGTTCTTTGATCGCTTTCTGTATATAATTTTTTCACAATTTAAATACGATTATTTTCATCCTACTAAAAGAAACGATGTGAAGCTGATATTTTAGTCACTGGCTTAACTTACTGATGCATAAACAGTATTGAACGATTTTGAGAGAAAGATTACCTGTCTGAACTTGAACAATTACACATCAGAAAGTGTTGCTTGGTAGCTCGATCCGAGGCCAGCTCTGTATTGGCCCAAGTTGAGGAAACACTCGGTGAAATGTTTGGAAATTTCCAGAGAAAATAAAATTAACCCATTGTTTCTTCAGAGGCTCAGATGAAGGAACTAAAAAATACTTTTGTGTTCATGTGTACATCCACACTGAGCAACTGCCATGCTTCGGCTGCGCAGTTCCGCCTGGCATTGAGGGCTGGCATTATGCAAATATTTGGAGGCGTACATATTAATGATCCCGACTATTGCGTCACAGTCGGTATTGTGTGGAGAACCGACCGTTTTTCAGGGGGGTTTTTCATAAACGTGAATTAAATGAGAACGCGAAAACAGTCCAGTTTGAGATTCACTCTATGTCATGTCCATGCACTGAACTCTTGTTATTTGACTATACCAAGGTAAATTCAATTTTGAATTATAGGTCACCTTTAATGTCAGCCGATGAGGCACTCATCCCTTCAGCAAGGCGGAGTGGGCATTCATTCCCCAAAGTATCCTTGAGGGGGCACAGTGCGTGTTCCCATTCGAAGGGGAATGTCTCAGGTTACGCATGTAACCATGGTTCCCTGAGAAGGGGAACGAGACACAGTTCTTCAGATATTCTTGTGCATGTCTCCTTCAGATAAAGAAGTCGCATCAGTAGTACGTCATAGGCTGTCGCCAGCCAATGTCAAGTTCATTGTGTTTTCACATGTGCTTCAGACACTGGCCATGCCCAAAGTGTCCTCTAGGGGTCTTGTTTCACTTCTCAGGGACCATGCTTACATGCGTGACCTGAGATGTTTATACATGAGGCCCCAGATCTATAATCATCCAACATCTAAAAAAAATCCTAACAACTTTTGCTAATGGACACTACAGGATAAATAAGACATAGACAAGTAACAGTGAATTTAATCAGTAAGCATTACCTGACAGTGTGTATTATAATGACATGCTTACAAAATTCATCACAATTACATTTTATGTAATGAGATTTGTTGCAGCTTATGAGATCTTTCTTTTTGTCTTTGTTCCAGGAGAGCTGTTGGATGGGCAGCGTGGCCTGGTTCCCTCTAATTTTGTGGAGTTTGTCCAGGACAAGGAAAAGCCATCTATCGACGGAGAAGAGGAGCAGGGCAGGCTGGAGCAGAGCTGTCTGAGCCTGACTGCCATAGATGGAGCTGCTCCTCTAGACAGCCTTAGCAGTGATGCCCTCGGCCACTGCAGCAACGGGACAGGCACTCTGGACCGAGAGGAGCTGGGCGACAACATCGTGCCTTACCCTAGGAAGATCAACCTGATCAAACAGCTGGCAAGAAGTGTGATAGTGGCCTGGGAAGCGCCTCTGGTGCCCCTCGGTTGGGGCAACATCAACGGCTACAATATCTTAGTGGATGGGGAAGTACGTTCCTCTGTGCCATTTGGGGCCAGGACCAAACTGCTTCTTGAGAAGCTAGACTTGGCTGCTTGTACCTACCGTGTGTCGGTACAGAGCGTGACGGACAGGGGTCTTTCCGATGAGTTGCGCTGCACCTTGCTGGTGGGCCGCAATGTTGTGGTGGCCCCCACTGGCCTGCGCATGGACGACATCTTGCGGGACTCCGCTGAACTTTCGTGGCTGCCCAGTAATAGTAACTACTCACATGTTGTGCACTTAGATGGTGTGGAGCATGCTGTGGTCAAGCCGTGCTCTTACAAACTGCGTTTTGTGAACCTGAAGGCCGCCACAGTGTACAAGGTAAAAGTGTTGGCCAAACCTCACCAGGTGCCCTGGCACATGCCCCTGGAGCAGAGAGAGAAGAGAGAGGCTGGGGTGGAGTTCTGCACCCAGGCTGCAGGCAAGTTTCAACTCTAATATTGTTCAGATATCGCGCCAATGTTGAGCGATTGAGATGACTTTTGTTTTTTAGGTTAGATTGTGATCCACAAATTCATATTAGATCCAATTTGATTTATTTGTGATTCATTTGAGTGTATTTCATTTATAAGGTATTATTTAATGTTGCTCTGATATTGCTGTTTTTTTAATCTATTTATTTAAATAACCTGCTCATAAATGTCGTTCGTTCGTAAATTAAACTACACTGTTGCGCTGTATGTGTTTGATTTACTAAAAAGAACCAGTTCAAAAGAGTCATTTGTTTGTGAATCAGACTACAATGTTTTGCTGTGCGTTTTGGATTCACTTGAAAGAACCAGTTCATAAGAGTCATTTGATTGTGGATTGAACTACACTATTCAACCTACACTATGTGTTTCTGACTCACTTAAAAAAAAAAAACGAGTAAATTGTTCTTGAGGTGGAGTAAGAATAGTTGTGTTAAATGCTTGATTTTGCAGCCTGTGAGGATAACTCAAAAGAAAGTCCATTATTTTTGCAATATACAGTTTTTGATTTCATTACATTCAATACATACAGTGAAAACACATTCATAGCTCTGGTAAAATCAGCAGTAGGGGAGCAGGATTGCTTGGAACACTATTACGGGGAACCTTCTAGCTTAGTACAATAAGAAAATAATCTTATTCTTTTTTTTTTTCTTCTTTTTTTTTAACAGGTTCTAAAGTGTACAGTAGAGTTAGCTGAAAATAGGCAAAGAGTAAAATACTGATCTTCGCATTATAAGAATCGACAGCAAGATTTATTAAATGAAGATCAGACAATCAGTATTTTTACCCACTAAGGCTGACACTCACATCTGACCTAAAGAGAGCATACACAGTCTTCCCTGAGCTAGACATAAAACAGCTATTTTTGTTGTTCTGATTAGCACAACACTCCACTTAACATAGTCGAAGGCAACAGAAAAAGATTTAGTGAGGCTAATTGGATTAATTAATTAGCTGAGATACTTGGAAGTAATATATGCCCTTGTGCCATTATTCAGCTGTAAAGCTGTTGGAATGACCATATTACTGTAAACTTGAGCTCAAGCAAATTAATCCAGTGAACATAATCCTTTCTAAATATCATGCATTTATTACTGTAAATATCTGGTGGTTATCTGTCCCTCCCCAGGACCCCCTCTTCCTCCTCAAGAAGTCCAGGTCCAGTGTGGACACGCCCCAGGGGTCCTTCAAGTGCGTTGGAAGCCCCCTCTAATGACACCTATGGGAACCTCCAATGGTGCAAGTGTCATTGGCTATGCAGTGTGCACTAAGGGTCAGAGGGTAAGTAAGTACGTGTGCATCAGCAATCATATCAGTGGTGACATTTATGTGACAGAACAGTTCTTGGCTGCATGGAGGCTAAAAGTCATCAAGACCTATTTTTATCAAAAAGTCATACTGATGCCCCCTGTTGGTGGAGCAGGGTGGTTCCAAACACTTGAATTCATTGTTTCTGGTGTTTTTGTGTAATGAATTTTAAAGGTCTTTCTTTTATGTTATTTGGGTGATTAATGAGAATGTTGATTCTAAACTCTTGTCCAGTCAAATTAGTGAAATTTTGTTGGAAAAAATGTCCATTGTCTATTGTCAGTTAGTGCACTAGTGTTGTACGAAGCACAGCTCACACAGAAGTTACTTTCAAAGCAAGCAGCTTTCTGTTGCTCAACGCAGCAAATTTGCTGGATCAACTTAATCCCTTTGCGAAATCTGCATGGGGAAATCTTTCCTAATTGTGTGGATTTTCTACTGAAATTACTGGATTTCGCCCATGAAAAATTAACTGAACCATGGTAAATGTGACTGCACCTTAATGCTAAAACTAATGCTGTTTCAGATCGCGGAGGTGTTGTATCCAATGGCAGACTATGTGGCAGTAGAGCTGAACCGTCTACAGTGCTTGGAGGCCCGTGAAGTTATCGTCAGGACTTTATCAGCACAAGGGGAATCTCAAGACTCCCATGTCGCCGTCATTCCAAACCACCTGCTGGTGCCTCCTCCTAAAGCCCTCCCTCCTTCTCACCACATGCAGTCCTCTCTCCCACCCCAGCAGTCCCAAACGATGCCTCCCCATCCCCAAATACGGTCCCTTCCACCTCACCCTGGACCCCAACCCCTCACCGTTCGACCCAACCAGCCCCCATCTCACCTCCATCCCCACCGTATGCCCCATCCCACACAGCCCTCTCCACCTCACCTCCAGCCTTTACAACCACACCCAATCCCTCAACCTCAGCACACCATGCAAATGCCCCAGCCTCAATCGTCTATGCCCCAACCCCAGCAGCCCATGCCTATGCCTCAACCCCAGCAGCCCATGGCCATGCCCCAACCCCAGCCGCCCATACCCATGCTCCATCCCCAGCCAGCTATCCCGATGCCCCAGCCTCACATTCCTCAACTGGCCCTTCCCCAATCCCAAAGACCACTAAGTGCCAGAGAGCTGGAAACCAAAGAGCCAGGGCCAGGAATGATTAATCATGGAGGGGGCCCACCTCAGCCATGGGAGCCCGGATGCTCCCCATCAGGCATGCCCACAGGCCTGCAACACGGACACACCCTGGATGCCCCGGCCTGCCCGAACCGCCGTTCCCCGTCACCTCAAAGGATCCTCCCTCAGCCCAGGGGTACGCTTATTCCTGACACTGTGGCCAAGGCTATTGCCAGAGAGGCAGCCCAAAGAGTGGCTGCAGAGAGTGGACGGGTGAGTCAAGTCAGCAAAAAGCATGTAATGTACAGTGGTTGCAAACCAACCTTAACCCTAGAATGCATGACCCCAAAAAACCTACATGAATAATGGGGCTCAAAACGACCCAAATCGGAGTCATTTTTTAATTATTATTATATATTTAATTTATTTTTTAATTTATACTTTTATTTAAATGTTATTTAGATTTTTATATTCTTAGTTAGTTAACCCAAATAACAAAATTCTGTCATCATTTACTCATGTCATTCCAAACCCATGTCGTTCATCTTCGAAATTAAATTTTTTTTTTTTTTTAATAAAACCTGTGTGGTTTCTGTCCTTCCATTGAAACTCCAGGTAACCAAAACTTAGAAGATCCAAAAAGGCGTTGTAAAATGAACCCATATGAATTGAACGGTAAGCCAAATATTGTAAGGAGAAATGATAGCTTTATAAATGATGAAAAAAATTATTTTAAGTTTTTTTTATTTACATCTAAGCAATGATCGACACACACATATATAGATCATATCACATATGCTAAACACAAAAACTCAAACGTGTATGCATGATGCACAAGAACCAATGACTAGGTGTGACACACAAACTTCTGTGTTTACCAAATGTGATGCACTTTATGTATGTGTGTTTAAATTTGAATAGAAGCCTAGTTAACTCTGTTCATCATAAAAAGTGACCAAAGTCTTATATATATTGATCAAATATTGACCAAAGACTTATGGGTTTGGAACCACAAGAGGGTGATTAAATGATCATTTTTGGGTGAACTATCGCTTTTAGTGTAATTAAATTATTTAAATGAAATTGATTTTATATTTACAGTGTATACTTAACAGTATTATGAATATGATTATATGCATGTTTAAATGTTTCTGTAATGTTCTTTTCCATGTACATACACAATAAAACAGTAATTCAATATAACTAATAACTATAATTAACGTGTTTGTGTGAGAAATTTGAATTTGCTGGCAACTTTTAATTTATAGATTATTTTGTTTATAGATTATTTAGCAAATCTATAATATTTTATTTATAGATTATTTTGTGGATAGACAAATGTGCTGAATTATTATTATTATTATTATTGTCAAAAAACCCATGGTAAGTTAGAATAGGATGTCATTTTGACCCCCTTTATGAAGACTTGGGGTAGTTTTTCTGATCCTACGAACAAATATAGTTTTGCTGAGGCTCAATATTTATAAAGGAATACATCAAATATCAATTAATCAAAAATAATCAAATAACAACACCCTATCGGGTCAATTTGACCCGTTTATGCATTCTAAGGTTAATATGTGCAAATGAGAACTCTTTTAAAGAGTTCATGAACATACAAAAGATTAGATATTTTGTCTGTTACTTAACCTCAGCGTAACTGTCAGATCTCTTTATTAAGACTTCTGAAAGTACTTTAATATATTTAGATGGAGAGGAGAAGCCAGGGCTTTTACTCACAAAATTCAGATGAGGAAGAGGATGAGGAAAGCTATCAGGCCCGCAGAAGTGGAGCATCTGTGGATGACTTCCTCAGGGGCTCAGAGCTGGGCAGGCAGGTATGGCAGTTGAAGTGATTGCCTTACCATACAACCACAGGCATAAGAGGCGAATGTCAGCATTGAATGCTTTGGTTTGTTGTATTAGCTTTGGATTGTTGTTTTCTCTCACAATCTGCATTTCACAGTCTCATTACAGTCACAGTGAGGAGTATCATACGGACAGCAGTCGAGGCTCGGACCTCTCAGACATCATGGAAGAGGACGAGGAGGAGTTGTATTCTGAAATGCAGCACGAAGAAGGCAGGCGACGAAACTCCCACAATGCACTTAAGGTATCGCAGAAAGCGAAAGACATCTCACAATATCCCAATGACATCCTGGTTTGCATGGCTGTAACTAGTTTGCTTTCTTCCCGATTCAAGACCGGAGGCAGTACTCAATCTTCGAGTCAGCTGGATCGGGACTCATACCGGAAGCCATCTCACCGAGGTCCTCAACCTCAGCGCCGACCCCTCACGGTCCCATCCATTGGTCAGTGCTCTCCCAGTAAGAGACAGGAGTCCAAGACTTGCTTTCAGGGTCTCTTTTTGAACTGTTAAACGTACATAAGCTTGTCAATGTGTACCAGACCACCACTGTGTGTTCCAATCATAACCATATCCTGTTGCTTTCAGCCATTATAACCCTCTCTGAATCTTTACGTCTCTCTTAAGGGCTGCGTCCGAAATCTAAAAAATGCTGGCTCTGCCGGCAGCAATATAGAGGTAGGAAGGCAGCAAGGCATGTCCGAATCCAGTGATCGTGTCTCATCCAGTCTTTTGGGATACCTTCATCTGATACATTTTTGAAGGGAGCATAGATAATATCCCACAATCCTGTGCATTCAATTCTGTGACAGTTGAGCTTATAAATAAAAAAGTTGCGGTTGGTGGTCAGTTTGTGTGTAAATGAATGTTTTTGACCAACTTTTTCCACTTTTGATGTCATTTCTAGTGAGAAGTTAATATTGTTGTAATTAAATATTTGTTTAGTTACCACCAAAGCTCTCTATTTTGTTGTAGATCGTTAAACTGTGAAGCTGCTTCAAAAAAAATTCGGGAGGTACCTTTATACGCAATCACTGCCTGCAAAGTCATTGCCTGATAGGTCAGCCAGGCAACAAGTCAGCTGCCTAAGCTTTCGGACGCAGCCAAGGTTTCCCATAGAGATGCCAGTGTAGTTAGGTGTCTCCAGCTTGGGCAGGTTGACGAGGAAAAGCCTTCGCATGGTATAACGACTCTTTGATTGGTGTTTCCCTCAGAGATAACCACTGAGAGTAACAGTGAAGGGAACCTCTCTCCCGTCAAGGAGGATGTTTACTATGGCAGTGTAGCACGGCACAGGACATGTTCCTCCCGGAGGCACGGGGGACGCAGGCCTCCTTATGGTACGTGTTGAAGCTGCAGCATTTAGAGTGGGGTCCGAGGAGAAAGAAAATGGCCAAACGCATGAAACTGCACTGGACTGCACCAAGATGGAAGCTTGTGTTGGAAGTGGTGCTGTAAGATAGCCATTAGCAACATTTTTGCACAGAGAATGCTCCTCCCCCTTTGCACTGCCCCACCAATGGATGCCTGCCAAACCTCCCTCTTTTCAACCTGACCACTCTCATTCTTTTACTTTGGCCATGCATGATTGAATGGTGAAAGTTAAAGGGTGGCATCTTACGCCGAATGAATGCCATCAAATATGTACATAGGTAATGGTTGACTAGGAAGAGAACGCAAACGGTTCCTTGGCATCGACTGCAAAGGCAACTGTGTGGAATGCACATTGGGCATGTTGGAATCACAATCTAGCACAGCTCTGTAGATGCGTCAGGGAGAAAAGGAAACAGGTGTAGTTTTATCCGGGACTAATTTGCCCCATCTGATGGGTCTTTCTCAGATCCAGATCTCTGCATGGTTACAGTAGCTCAGACTGCGTGCTCCCTCTCTCTCTCTCTCTCTCTCTCTCTCTCTCTCTCTCTCTCTCTCTCTCTCTCTCTCTCTCTCTCTCTCTCTCTCTCTCTCTCTCTCTCTCTCTCTCTCTCTCTCTCTCTCTCTCTCTCTCTCTCTCTCTCTCTCTCTCTGTCTCTGTGTGTGCGCCTGTCAGTAGCTTCATGTTTGGCTTGCTGTTCATCTGTAATTGGCTGCCATATGGGTGTTTCACTCCAATCGCCACATACCCACACACACACAGGCAAACACACACAGTGACACACATCATAGCCATCATATTACGGTAAGAAATGTCTGTTTTTTTCAACCCACCCAAGATGTGTTTGGCAAATAAATGGATTGTGCAAGTATGGAGCGTAATTTCACTCCATTGGACTGAATTGCATGCTTATTCACACTGTCCATTATTATACACGGAGATAATAATATTTATACTGTTTGTTACTTGCTTCAAAATATCCTCTGGATCCTTTAAAAAGTCTTGTAAGCTTATACCATCAAGTCATGCCTACTGTATATGGTTTTGTATTACAGGACCAGGTGGAATATATATATACATGTGTATATATATTAATATATAGGGGTGAATATAGGGTTCCCAATTCAGGGTAAATTCAGGTTGATTGGGACACATTTTGCTATTGAGATGAATGAATTCAGTCAGTATGTTTTTTTAATTAATACTTTTATTTAGAAAGGATGCATTAAACTGTTTAATAGTGACCGTAAAGCAGGTGTAAAGAGTACCTGAAAACCACACTGGAGTAAAAGTACAGATACCTTACAATGAAAATGACTCCATTACAAGTTTCAAGTCACCAATTCCAATATGACTCGAGTAAATGTCTTAGAGTATCTGATTTTAACAGTACTTAAAGGGATAGTTCACCCAAAAAAATTCTGTCATCATTTACTCACCCTCAAGTTGTTCCAAACCTGTATGAGTTTCTTTCTTCTGCTGAACACAAAGATGTTTTGTATATTGTTTTGTATATTTTGTATATTCTTTTTCAAATTCATACAGGTTTGGAACAATTTGAGGGTGAGTATATATTTTTGGGTGAATTATCCCTTTAGGTATTTTACTTGTATGAGTAAACTCATACAGTACCTCGTGTACCTGAATGTAGGCTTAAAGATGCACTAGTCCTTAACACCGAAGAGATATGTCAGTGAAAACAAGAAACAGTTGATTTGTGAGGAGAGCAATCACATGTTTCTTTTTCTAAAATCAAAATTAAACTGAACACAGACTGTAAATATTGTAATAAATCAAGGTCGACAACAGCCACTTAAACGTCCACTTAACAGCCTCTTAAACATCTACAAACACTAAAGTCTCAGTTAAGCTCAAGTGCTCATGAAGGGGCATACTGTAAGTAAACCAATATCCTTTAAAATGTTCTCTTCAATATAACTGATAAATAAAATAAGTAAAATTAAATATTCAAAGCCTACTTGTACTGGACGTGCTGGGTTCGGCTGGAGAGTGTCCTCACCCCATAACTGAAACACCTGCGATTCACAACTACCATGCGCTTGCATTCATTGTAAAGTAACCTTGTTGACAAATTTGGGTGAACAAGGGCAAAACGCACAAGATATAGTATCTTCAATGCCCTGTAGATGGTGATATCGCTTCTTTTGTAGCAGTAATAAACTGCTGCTGACAATGTTAGGTGCCATGCAAAATGTAACAAGTAATTGCATTGCTCATTACAAATGTATTGGAGTAAAAGTACCTATTCTTATTCAAAAATGTAGTCAAGTAGGGAGTAAAAGTTGTTTTATCTTTGATACTTAGTCAAACTACAAAGTAGCCAAAAATATACTTAAGTACAGTAACTAATTACATTTACTCAAATACTTTACACCACAGCAGTAAAGACATTTATCTTACAAAAGATTTATATTATAAATAAATGCTGTTCTTTTGAATGTACTATTCATCATCATCAAGAATGCTGAAATTTTTTATCAGTTTCAACAAGAAATTAAGCAGCTCAACCGCTTTTTATAATTTGTTTACAATAATTATTCATTGTGATTATATAATTTTAATGACTTTTTAGATTTATTTTCCTTCAGTTTGGTCAAATGGACCTTCAAAGTGACAAATGAATTTTTATGAGCATGCCTGCAAATATTAATAAAAATAATACATTTTATCTCAATTAATATAAGTAGCATAACAGTAAATATACAATAATTAGAAAAATCGTTAATTCAATTTTTTTATATATATCACACTGCAGAACATGGCTTTCCAACTATCCATGTATAGGGATAATATGGTACCACTTAAATCTGTCTATTAGACAACTTGTTTTTTTTGCCTATCTTTCTTATTGTAGATGGATACAGGGACCGATGCCGGCGTTCTCCTCCGTACTATGATGAATCTGAGCAGGAGGAGCCGTTTCGAATCTTTGTGGCCCTCTTCGACTATGACCCTCTCTCCATGTCCCCTAACCCTGACGCAGCTGATGAGGAACTCCCTTTTAAAGAGGGTCAGATTATAAAGGTACTGCTCAGATGGAGTTAATGATCTATTGTTAAATGGCCCTTCCATTGTTTCAGCATCCCTCTGTCTGTGTGTCTAAGGTGTATGGCGATAAGGATAATGATGGCTTTTATCGTGGGGAGATCCGAGGCAGGTCTGGACTTATTCCCTGTAACATGGTGTCGGAAATCCGTGCTGAGGATGATGAGACCATGGAGCAGCTCATGAAACAAGGATTTCTCCCTCTCAATACCCCTGTGGACAGAATTGGTTGGTGTTTTTCCTGTCACAGTTATCTAAACTTATTATAATGACAAAAATATTAAAGGTTTGCAAACTTATTGTTACACACTACTGTTCAAAAGGTTTTGGGTCGGTACGATTTTGTAATGTTTTTAAAAGAAGTCTCTTTTGCTCACCAATGCTGCATTTATTTGATACAGTTAAAACATAATATTGTGAAATATTATTATTACAAATTAAAATAGTTCTGCTGCTTAATATCTTTTGTGAAAACTGTGATACATTTTTTCCTGGATTCTTTGATGAATATAAAGTTCAAAATAACAGCATTTATTTGAAACAGAATTTGTCACTTTTGTTAAACTTAATACATTCTTGCTAAATAAAGGCTTGTTCACACCAAGGATGATAACTATAATGATAACTGTATTAGCGTACCCACCAACGCACGATAACTCTCTTTTTTATTATAAGCAAGTTATGTCATTGGCCACTTTACATGCTTGAGCTCTTTAAAGAAGGATAGATTCTGATTTGGCAATGTCAATTCAATCATTCCTCAGCTGGAAAAAATCATTCTGAAAGTGATTCCAAATGATATTCTTACTCGTGTCGTTATCATTATAGTTGTGGTGCGGACTTCCCTATTCTCATACAATTAAAACAATTATTAAAACTTTATAGTCATCGTTATAGTTATTGTACTTGGTGTGAACGGCCCTTAAAAGTATTCATGTTTTTAAAAACATCTTACTGACCACAAATTTTTTTTTACTTTGTTCGAATATATCAAATACATGGCTACTTTTATGGTCATCAGTACAGGGCTTTCTACCAGTAACTGGATTGTGATAACCAGTCAAATGTTATTTTGTACATAGCCTGCCTATCCCACAAAGCAACTGATTCTCTCTCCCATCAGAACAAAATAGGAGAGGTCGCCACCCAGTGGCCACAAGAAGAATGGTTGCCCTGTACGACTACGACCCCAGAGAGAGCTCCCCAAATGTGGATGTTGAGGTGTTAAACACACACTCTAATATATATAGTATATAGTATATATATGCATTTGTGAATAGTTGCTGATCATGTGCTTTCTGTGGCAGGCTGAACTGACGTTCTGTGCTGGTGACATCATTGCTGTTTTTGGGGATATAGATGAAGATGGCTTCTATTATGTAAGTATCATTGTTGCGCTGACCACTCACTCTGTTTTATTCTGAGCCTGCGGCATTGTAAGTTTTTCTGACTCGCAGGGTGAGCTGAATGGACATCGGGGCTTGGTTCCATCAAACTTTCTTGAAGAAGTGCCTGATGACGTGGAGGTCTATCTGACGGACACTCCCTCCCAGCACGGTCAGGACGAGCCCAATCCGGTACCGGCTCCGCGCCCAGAGGCCAAACGGGTACACCATCGCCGTTCTCAGCGCTAGGCCCTGTGTCCATTCATCCTCCGTTTGAGTTTCGGTCCACTCGCCGTCTCTGTGTTTTCTTGTGCTTGTTTGTTTTTTCGTTATGTGACCGTGGTGGTGGTTTCCAGTCCAACCTTTCTTGCTTTAGGAAAGGGAGAAGCAAAGCCCACTGCATACAGAGCCTTTTTTTTGAGAACATAGAGAGACAGGTACGAATGTGACTCTTTTAAGAGAGCGAATGTTCGTAGAGCCGCCAGAGGACTTGTGGAAAAGGCCAAATTCTGTTCCTGCACCGGACTTTGAATAAAGCATAAAGCATCTTTGCACTGAAACACAAAACCCTACTTAAGTGAAGCTGTTTGCATTAGTCAAAGTGCTTTGTGAAGTCCATAGGGTCCGTGGCTCGTGATTTGTGACCCTGTTAAAAGACTGATTTGGAAACTCACGTAGTTGACGCATGCCTGTTTTTTTCTTTTTTTCAGAACAGACCTGTAGCTTTTATATAAAAGTAAACTACATTACCCCAAATGTTGTATTTCTTTGAAGAGGCTTTGTTTCTTTTTGTATATTGCACATTGTCAAAAAAAAAAACTCTATTTTTCAGATCATATGAACTAGCAGAACATATATTACTCATTCTCATCTCTTCCTGAGAGACTAAAAAGATAACAGTCATGATGTAATTACAATAAATCAAAATAAATGAAAAACTGAGACAAATATGTATTTTTTGCTAGTGGACATTTAGTGGACAGATATATTCATTTATGTGTACGTGGTGTTGTTTTTTTTTTTCTCCTCATAATTGATGTTTTGGATTTTTTTTATGATGTCGCTGCATTCTAATTTCCGTTTTTCCCCACCGGCTTTGCCAAAAAAGAAAAAAGCTGAGGAATATTGTTCATTTCCCACCCTAGCAGACTTTGGTCTTGCTAGGTAAGTTAAGCAACTGGCGATACCAGTGATCAGTCTCATGCAAGGGATTTTTTTTATGGACTTTCTACGGCTAAAATTATCTAATTGGAGTGTTCTATTATATTGCTTTTATATGTAGCATAATATAAACAAGTTGATTTATTTATCTGTTTTCATCAAAAGACAAGGTTTGTTTTAGGTTTATCTACTTAATGATGTTCATTTATTCAGATTATTATTTTATTTATTTTCCTTTTTCTATCTTCAAAAACACAGACTTTTCTGCTTAATATGCCAGTGCATTGGACTTGTATGGTATCTGCAGTTGGTTTCCGTGCTGTGTGTCTATTATGATGCTTTAATAGAATATAAGATCCCCTGACTTTTAGAGGTTTCTAATAACAATTCAAACAGAAATTAAATTAAGGACTATTTCTTATCTTTCTTATAGCAGCCAAGAAAAAAAAAAAATTAATAACACAGTTGAGTTAATTCAGGAACCAGCCATATTATCTGCCTTTTCTCTAGAGTTCCAATCTGTGAGTAGTAATATAATTTTTGCTCTTACTTTCTTGGCACATTTCAAATCATTTGTTTTAAAACTTTGAACATGAGCTGGACGGTTACTAGAAGAATGCAGATGATAAGGCAAAAGATAGACTTGCTGTGTAATATGCCACAATTTTCCCTTCCCCATGGATGTTTCATTAGGTGCCTGTGGAAAGTACAGTGCCAGCTCCGGCCCCTGGAAGACCCGCCTCTCCCACTGTGCGTCCTTTGCTTCCTGTTGGCCCAGTCAGGGCGCTGAGCCCAGCCAGGGGTCCACGAGACCTGGCGTCTAAAAAGAAAAAAGGTCTGCTCTCTAAGGGGAAGAAACTGCTCCAAAAGTTCTCAAAGTAAAAGTATGAGTTTGATTTCAAATTCATATGACTACAACAACATACAGATTTCTATCTCAAAAGGGAAACAGCCAATCCCCAATGTGTCAATAAAAACTAGGATTTTCAACAAAAAAAAAAGAAAAAAGAAAACTTTCACATTAACATGCCATGTACACATTATGAAATAAATCTAATATTCATATGAAAAGGAATGACCTATATAAAGATGTCACTCACATGTCAGTGAGTTTGCTAATTGGCTGTCAGAATAAAAGCATCTTTCCATACTGTGATGGACAAAAAGATGTTATATTTAAAGAATTAGCCTAGTTCCATTGCTATATCCTTTTTTAAAATCAAAGTGCTGGATTTTGAGCTAAATATTTAATCTCAGATTTTAATGTTTGGTATTGCATTTAGTGATGAATTGAAACAGTTCAAAAAGCACTTCAAATATGGCCTGACGTTGTGCGTCAAATAGCAGTTTATGCTAACCTCCAGACCATATCAAGTGCATTAGTCCGAAACACAAAAAGGACCACAATAAAATAATATATTTCCATTTAAAAGCATTTTAGAAAGATGGGCAATGTGCAAAAACGCATTACTGACCAGGACAGTCTATGAGCAAATCCTTTTAAACATTGCTGTGGCCTTCATCTAAACTCAGTAAGTAGGCTACAGTATATTACCTACATCTGATGTCTAGATACATCAGTCTTTGCCAAGTATTCTCTCTTTTGCTTGCTCCCTATCCCGTGTTTACCACGAGAATGAGTCTGAAGTTATAAAAATACAATGGAAAGTTTCTGTGTTTGCCTTTCAAATCGCACAATCTGTGTGTGTTTTGGTGAATGGAGTGCGTCCCCTCTGCATCCATGTTCGTGCAACCCCTTAAACTTAAAAGGGACAAATGTTGTTATAAACTTTTGTGATAATGTGATGTGCTGCTAATTACAAGTTGTTTTCTGTTGCTTTCTAAAGTCAATAAGGGTGGTTCCGTCTTCTCAAGAAGAAACATTTAAGCAAATATTGTGTCTTGGTGTCTCCTTAAAGGGATAGTTCGCCCAAAAATGAAAATTTTGTCATTTACTCACCACCAAGTTGTTCCAAACCTGTATGAGAACCTTTCTTCTGTTGAACACAAAATAAGATATTTTGAAGAATGTTGGTAACTCATACAGGTTTGGAACAACTTGTGGGTAAGTAAGTGATGACAAAAAAAGTAGCATTAGTTCTAGCAGGTAACGTCAGTCACGCTCGCGTCAGCTGATCCACGACTACCTATAGGAATACAACGCCTATCACTGTATTAATATAAAAGCTCCTTCAGTATTATCAGCAGCTATCGCGTTTCTCAGGAGCCAATTCCTTCCTCATCCCCAGCTCCTCCTCTCGTCAGTCAGGATTTGGCATATTGATTCCCCTTGAATCAGGCTAAATTCTCGAATTATGATGTATATTAAAATATGGACATTAATGATATCTGCAATACATTCATGTTGGTTCTGTTCTGTTTACCCTAAGGGGGTTATTGCTGCTCTCCCTGCTCTTATGCTAGGCTGCATGGATGCGCAGGGAGTTCTTTCCCAGAACAGAACCATACCGCCAATCCAAACTATATGTTACTGGCCAATCGTATTTAGTGGTCCTGACAGAATTTTCATTTGTGATGAACTATCCTTTAAATTCCACTTTCTGAAGGCTGGTTTACAGAGAACACGTTTTTTTTTTTTTTTTTACAATGGAAATTGTTTTCCAATATTAAAAGATGAAACCCGTCTTTTTTTTTTTTTAGTTTTAAACGCATGAACGAGTTCTGTGTGAATGACCCTTGAAAGGTTTTTCACCCCAGAATTAAAATTCTGTCATAACTTGTTCTACAAACTGTATGAATTTAATTTTTTCTGTGGAACATGAAAGAAGACATTTTGAGAAATTATTCTCTTTTTTTTGTCATACAATTGAGGTAACCAAAACTGTTTTCTTCAACATCATTCAAAATATTTTCTTTTATGTTCTGCAGAAGAAAGAAAGTCGCAAAGGTTTGGGACAACATGAGGGTGAGTAAATGATGACAGAAATTTCGTTTTTGGGTGAACTATCCCTTTAACACTGGTTTATACAAATAGGTTGGGCTGGTATAATGAGATCATCTATAGGCCTAAATGACATATCCTTGCTGCTGTTATCATTGGCTGTTTTTCCTGGGGTCTTTGCTTGCTATGGTAGACAAACTTTCTGTGATAGTCTCTTTGCTGAGGACCATATAATACACATTCTCAGCTACCAAAATACAGGTTAAATACCCTCAGGCAAAACTACCTATGATGGCTCAGCTGTCTCAAGCTATAATAGTAGTTTACATTAAGGGCAAATTCTTTTGCATTAACACAAAACATCTTGTCCCACAACTGGAAATGTGAAGTTGAGCCAACATTTGGTGGAATCTCAATAATGTGGCCGGTTAGGTTTAGATTGCACTCTTGAATGGTTTGATCCAGGGTACATACTGTGTGTTTAAAAAAAAAAGAAAAAAAGAAAGATTTTTAAATCTTTAAAAAAGATTATCTTATATGTATTTAAGCATTTTAATATAGCATATATATGTATATATATATAATGACATTCATTTGGGGTGAATGAAGTTCATTTATTGTATAGAAGAAAAACATGGAAGGTTCTAATTAATTAAATGATGATAATAATAAAAAGTTGGATAGCCAAAAAGGAATGTATGAAATGTTCAGCTGCTTGTATAGCTTGCAACATCATTTTGCCAAAAGAAAAATAAATAAAAGAGATTACATATATTTTCATTTAACAGAAATATCTCTATTATTATCATGAATCCCGAGTGTTCGTTGTAACTGGATGATGTGTTCATTTCTCGGTTACTCTTTTGTACTCCATTTGTAGATAATTTATAAATGTTTATACTTAATTTACAGACTTTTTTAGTGCTTTAAAATTTAATATTCAACCGTGTAAGTGTTATCATGGTGTCTTCAAGAAAAGATGCTCAAGTCGGCAATTCTGTGTTCGCTCTGTGAATTAAAGAGAAAAAAAAGGACTCGTTGGTCTACTGATATGGACAATTGTGTGGCTGTGCATGTGTAGAATTGTGTAAAATATACATTTTCTATGAAAATAAATGTGATATTTTTCAATATCGGACTTGAACTTTTCATGGCAAATCACATAGCACGTCTCCCAACAGCAAACATAACAATAACTACAGCAAAAACCCAGTAGATGGCAGCAGTGGCCTCAATATCTCAGTACTTCCCATCAGGCATCATGGGTAAGGTGAGTGAGTGAATTAATATTGCTGCGTTTTTGGGTGAAGATTGATGTTGACAGGCCATATTCAACTCTGTCAACAGCCGAGAGCTGCATTTTTCACACTTAATGACGGGTTATAATCATCTAGTTTATCAATTTCTGAGGTGTCATCCTTCTTCTTTGGATCAAACTGGTGTTACTCAACAACACTAATGTTTAACAACTCAAAGCGCATAGTTAACAAACATGGTGTGTTAAAGGAATTCACCCAAAATTACATCTGACCAAAGCTATGCCATGAAATACAAAAGTAGATCTTTTTGGAAAATTGTTGCTGCTTTTTTCACACAACGACAGTTAGTGACCAGCAGAGTCTATCAAGCACCAAAACAGCTAAATAAATAAATAATAATAAAAAAGCTGTAAAAGTATTTATATATGGGGTTAAACAGGCGCACATTAAGAAAAATGTGCTTTTCACTACTCACATAGTGTATGACTGCAGAAACAAATATATGCTTGAATTGAACATTGATGGAGCAACAGATTTTGTGTGAAAATAAATCATAAAAGTGGTTTATTTTGTTTAAAAATCGTATAAATGTATGAGGTGGCAAGTTTGTCCTTTTACCCCACGGGTAAGGTCGGATCACCAGCATGGGGCAAAAGGCACACAGTATTGATATAAATACTTTAGCTAAAATAATATGTTTTTAATACTAAGTTAATATTTGTTCAAAACAATCACTTTAGCAAAGTTTGTACTCTTTTCTGTTCATTTTGATAAATAAAATAATTCAATTTTGTTACTGTCATTAATATACTGTCATTAAAATATGTTCATTTAAGAAAATATTGAAATGATTTTTTTTTAAAAGTAGATCCTAAAAGCATTGAAAATAATTGAATACAAATGTAATGAATTAACAATAAAATATATTTTATTATATGATTAATATCATATTTTTTAAATATGATGGTCATTATAAATTCATTTATTATCATATATCAAGTGCTGTGGCAAGTTTTTATGCCATATAGTGGTTTAGAGGAAAATCAAATCAAATGTGCCTTTTACCTCGGTGCGCCTTTAGCCCCGTTGTACCCTATATGATTTGTCATATATGATTAATTGTCTTCTGAAGTCTTACAATAACTTTGTGTGACCAAAATTAAAAGTTTAATTAAATTTAGATTAAAATAATATAAATAATCTTAAAAGAATAACATCATAAACATTTGCCACACTATTTAGTCTATCTATGTCCATATTAGAAAAATGCTGTGTTGATGACAAAACACATTATATCTTGCATGTGAAGTAACCAAATAAGAAGCGTCATTTTTAAATTGTGAACAACAGGCAATAGCTGACCCTCAGGGGACGGCAAGATTATGAATAACGGCTAAAATTCTGACTTATACTTTCCCCCCTACTTTTTATTTTGGCTGAATTGAGCTTTTGTTTTATGGATGTTTTTTTGTTTTTTTTTTACATTACTATTGTGTTCCATTGGGAAAAAAATAACCACTTTGAGGTTTGGAAACAACATAAGGGTGAAAAAGTAATAAGAGAACTCTGACTTTTAGTTGAACTATCCCTTTAAAAAGACCGCTGAGAGGAAAGGAAAGTGCTAAAGTCTGCTGCAGAGGTATCAGCGGAATATGCTGTACTGAAACAAGAGGATGAAGTGAGGGCCAGCCCTGCCTAGAGAAAAAAAGGAGGAGAGCGAGAAATGATTATGCTCGTATATCACCGCGCTAGGCTTCTCTTGCTCTTGGCTCGGCTCTCCTTCCTTTCAGGAGTGAGCTGTAATGATCCCGGGGGGCCCTGGGCC